AGGCAGGTCCTTTTTCTTTCCTGTTTTCATAGCAGAGATAGAAAGGTTTGAGTAGATCATACAGATGAACAGAGATACTGTAAGTCTCCTACAAAGTGATCCATTCCTCATGCCATTTTTGGTGATAATACTCAATATTATTTTCTACCGATTTTCTATTTCAAAGATGAGGGCCAGGTACAGTAATGCCCAAAATTGTGGAAACCTTTTGGGAAAAGTGTATTTTCTAAAACTAGCTAATAACACCACTTTTTTGGGGGGAGTAGTACCATAAAATGATATATCCATGGAAAGATCATTTAATCAAGAATGTAATGCAATAACTTTTATGAAGGATTTGCTATTAGAATAGCAGTTACAGTATAAAGAAGAAAAGTGAAACACGTAGGAAAAACGAGATAGACAAAAATGATCACCATGTCAGTTAATCCTTAGTTGGGTAACCTTTAGCATGAATGATGGCCTTACAACGTCTTCCCATGGAGTGAACCAAGTTTTTAAGTTCTGCAGCTGTTCTAATGTGAAACCAAGATTGAAGGATTGCTTCTATTCACTGGGTTTTATTGCTGGGTCGCTTCTGACTAACAAGTTTCTTTAGTCAGCTCCATAGATTTTCAATTGGGTTAAAGGTCTGGGCTATTCCCAGGCCATTCCAGCAGTGGAATAGGATTATCTTGAAACTCCAAAAAAAAAAAAAAAAGGTGTTATTATTAGCCATCAAACCTCAAAAATACACTTTCCCAAAAAGGTTTCCACAATTTTGGCCACGACTGTATATAGGAATGACCAGATGGGACCCTCACCAGATACATTTGGACTACAACTTCTATCACCCCCAGACAGCCTGTCAGGAGACGGGCTGGCTTGAGATGATGAAATCTGAAATCCAGTTATATGAGAAAGTCATGGTCTTTTGATTCAGCTTCTTCTTTTCGGATTCTTTTTGTTGTTGTTGATACAATTCATGAGAAATGATCGTCCTTGAAATAACCATTTATATTTCTCTTAAGAAGACAAACATGTGCTTCCCTTTTTCTGGGCTGAGTTTCTGTATTTTATGATGTGGTCCCAAGGGCTTTTGCTGTTGATGCTCTTCCCTCTTGCGCTTGCCAGCTTTTATTTTCATAAAGTCCCTGTAGCTATTTTTGGCAACATGTAAAGCAGAAATTGAATCATGCACAAGGATGGGCAGTATGGGCTGATTTCCTATATTTCCTATATTTAGCATGAAATCTTCTTCAGTCCATCTCTGCATGAGCTTGTAGATTTATTTGAAAAATGGAAGGTCTGCAAAGATCTTTGTTTGCAATTGGCATGCACATTTTCCATATAGAATAGAATAGAATATTAGGCAGGAAGCCAGGTAGGTGACCTTAACAGAATAACAGAGTTGGAAGGGACCTTGGAGGTCTTCTAGTCCAACCCCCTGCCTAGGCAGGAAACCCTACATCACTTTATCCAACATCTTCTTTAAAACTTCCAGTGTTGGAGCATTCCCAACTTCTGGAGGCAAGTTGTTCCACTCATTAATTGTTCTAACTGTCAGGAAATTTGGTTTGGTGTCATCTGCCAATTTGATGAGTTCCCCATCTATCCTCTCGTCCAAGTCATTGATGAAGATGTTGAAGAGTACTGGGCCTAAAACAGAGCCTTAGGGTACTCCACTGCTTACTTCCCTCCATGTAGATGCAGTTCCACTAAGGACTACACGTTGAGTCCAGTTGGTCAGCCAGTTACAAATCCATCTGGTGGTGATGCTGTCACCATTTTTCTACTTTATCTAGTAGTAGGTTATGGTCTACTTTATCAAATGCCTTACTGAAGTCCAAGTAAATTATATCGACAGTATTCCTCTGCTCCACTAATTTTGTCACTTTGTCAAAGAATGCAATAAGATTAGTCTGGCATGATCTATTTTTGACAAACCCATGTTGGCTTTTGGTTATTACTTTGTTTGCTTCTAGGTGTTCGCTAATTCGTTGCTTGATTCTCTTTTCCAGAATCTTCCCTGGTATTGAGGTCAGGCTGATAGGCCTGTAGTTTCTTGGATCTATTTTTTTCCCCTTTTTTGATGATATGTTTTTGTGTTGGCATATGCACTTTTTGCAAGCCAATTTTGCTTTATTTTTAAAGGTGCCATTTTAAAGAGATGACAGAGAAAGATGATAGAGCTTTTTAAATCTGCGATAATGAGAGTATGGGACTTTTTCAGTTGAAGTGTAGCTTTCTTGCAGTTTAGGAAGCGTGGCCATCTAAGTAGGCTTCATAATAACGAAAATCTGTATAATAGAAAACAGCAGGGTCGGCAGTATTCATCCCCTTTTCATCCATGAAGTAAGCTGACAAACACGCCACCACACAAAGAAAAATAGAAAAGAATTGTTCACTAAGAATAATTAAGAAAAACATAAGGGAATTTGAAAAACCACAAGCCAAATTTCGATAAGGTTGCATTGACTTCAAATCAGTTTTGATTAGGTGACATTCAAAAGGTGAGTTTCATTTGACTTGTTAGGTCAGGTTAAAAAATGTCAGCGGTGAAATCCTCTGAAGTCTGCTACCAGTTCTGTGAGTCTGCTACCGAGCGTGTGCTTTGCGCGCGGATGCACACTTTGTGCACATGTGCGCCTGACGCACACCTGCGCAGAGCTAAAAAAAGAACGTTTTGAAGCCTTCCAAGTCTGCAAAGGTAAGTAGAACAGCAAGGGGGGGGGAATCCGCTGTGCCACATGATTTAGGTTAGCTAGAAAGCAGAAAATCTGACAATTGTAGCTATTATAAATTGTGCATCACGGCTGATCGTCGGAAATACCGGTTCGCCCGAACTGGTAGCATTTTTTACTACCAGTTCGGGAGAACTGGTCCAAATCAGTAGCTTTTCACCTGAAAAATGTGGTCTACACTGACAGAACATGGCTCTCCAGAATTGCAGAGTGGAATCATTCTCAGGTCATTTGAAGGTGCTGATGACTGAACCTGTTCAGATTTAAGTACAGGTAGTCCTCGACTTACAACAGTTCACTTAGTGACCGTTCAAAAGTTACATGACTGAAAAAAAGTGACCTAGGACTGTTTTTCACAGTTATGCTTTTTGTAGCTTCCAATGATCGTGTGATCAAAATTCAGATGCTTGACAACCGGTTCATACTGATGACAAATGCTGTATTCAAAGGTCACATAATCATCTTCTACAACCTTCTGGGAAGCAAAGTCAGTGGGAAAAACCGATTCATTTAACAACCGGGTTACTAACTTATCCACTGCAGTGATTCACTTAGCAACTGTGGCATGAGAGGTCATAAAATGGGGCACAACTCCCTTAACAAATGTCTCGCTTAATGATAAAAAATTTTGGGCTCAATTGTTGTCGTAAGTGGAGGACTACCTGTATAAAGTTCACCCGAATCTACTATCCTTTGCCTAAACAAGTTCCTTCTCTTCCTGTTTTAGAATGACACCAAGATGGATTATGAGAATGTGACGAAGAAAGAAGAAGAGGAACTGCACTATTCTTCCTTGGTGAACCTAGCGCCACGCTCCCGTCCCACCAACATTGACTTAGAAACAGATTCTGAATCAGAAGACAGCATCCAATATGCAGCTCTGAAGCACTGATCTACTCAAGTTTGCAGAGATCAGGACTCTCCTGCTAGGGACTGGAAAGAGATTAGAGTTGGGCGTGTCTAAAAAAAAAGCTTTCTTTTTACAACTCTCCGGAATCTGAGAGTTCCGCGGGTAAAAGAAGAAAGATAAAATAGGATAAAGGGCTAATAAAGCCAGTATTTAAGTTTATATTGTGCGTCCAAGTCCACAACAGGAGGCATATAATGATCAGCTTTCAAATTATAAACCTAATTCACTGGTCTTTTTCATGACTGCTAAAGCTTCTCTGTCTGATATTCAATCCACCTCTTAGAAACTATTATAGAGCAGCTCAAACTTGTTCATATAGATGCTTTTTTCAGGGGTGGGCATCAAAATTTTTAGCAAGGGGTTCTCTGCCCAGTTGCTGGGTGGGCGTGGCCTAGTTGGGCTCCTGTACCATGGCGGTGGGTGTGGGGGGACCGTTTTTGCCCTCCCTGGGCTTGGAGGCTTTCTTCAAGCCTCTGGGAGGACGAAAACAGCCTCCCCAGGCTCCAGAGGCCCTCTGGAGGCTGGAAATAGGCCTGTTTCTGGCCTTCCCAAACTTCTGGTAGGCCTGTTTTTCACCCTCCCTGTGCCTCTGCGTGCGCCCTGCACTTACCTGCATCCAAAATGGGCCGCATGGGGACTCCTGGGAGGGCAGTGAAGGGCCAGCCAGGAGTGGGATTTGGGGGTTCTCTGAATTGCACAGAATCTTAGCTAGAGGTTCTCCCGAACCCCTGCAAACCCCCAGCAGCCCAGCCCTGGCTTTTTTTCCCAAGAAGCAACTGGGCTTTCTTGTTTTTCTTTGAAGGCATTTCGCTTCTCATCCAAGAAGCTTCTTCAGCTCTCCCAAAGTGCATAGCTAAATGTCTATGGAGATGCTCAGTCATCAAGATCATAGTTGTCCCCAGAGATGCTTTTTTCTTTTCAAGAGGCAGCTGGACTTTCTTATTTTTCTTTGAAGATGTTTCGCTTCTCATCTCAGAAGCTTCTTCAGCTCAAAAAGCACCTTTGGGACAAAAAACACCTTTGGATGACTGAGCATCTCCATAAACTTGTTCATATAGTTTGTTATATAGTTCATAGTTCACATATAGTTCATATACTTTCAATTCTGACAAATAGGACTTTTTCAGGCCAGAGATCTTCCTGACTAGACAACCCTAATTTGCTATCTAGGTCATCAGATTGTCTTATGTTGTATCTTCTACCATGGCACAGTTACTTCAAGCTTACCAGTTCCAACCATGTGAGATCTATTACCAATCAGTTCTTCAAAATAAATGAAGTGATAATCCCAGATACAGTTTTCCTTCTGTGCTTCTCAGAGTAGAGTTTGATATGTTCAGCCAAATACATTAAATCCAGCAATCTCAGCTTGATTAGCAGCTGTGTTTTTGTGAATGTGACTTAATGTGTTGGGCAAACTGAGCCCATTTGGTTAGTGTGTGGTTAAAAAAAAAGCTTATAAAATTGGGTATAACTCACTTAACAACTGCCTTCTCAGCAACGGAACTTCTGGTCCCAATTGTCATTGTAAATCAAGGATTACCTGTTATCTGTCATGAAGTCATTCCAAAATGTATGATGGCACATTTTTAATATATTAGCGACAAGCTCATTCTGGGTTGTCCTCCAATGTTAAGAAGGTTTACTTTCCTGCTGAAGCAGCTTTCTGTTTTTCTACCTCATTCCCAAGATTTGTTAGGTTTGTTGTTGTTGTTGCTATTTGTTTTCTGGACAACAGATGGAGTCAAGTTGGTTTTCTCCTTGCCTGATGTTCTTCCAGGGAGGCTGTGGGTATAATCCAGGGGTGAAATCCAGCAAGTTCTGACAGGTTCTGGAGAACCGCTAACGGAAATTTTGAGCAGTTTGGAGAACCAGTAGCGGAAATTTTGAGTAGTTCAGAGAACTGGCAAATACCACATCTGGCTGGCTCAGGGTGGGGTGCGAATGGAGATTTTGAAGTATCCTTCCCCTACCACGCCCACCAAGCCACACCACACCCACCACGCCATGTCCACAGAAATGATAGTAAAAAAAATTGGATTTCACCACTGGTATAATCTCTCATAAAATTCATTTTCCTACTACCCTTGTTTCCCCCAAAATAAAACCCTGTCTTATTTTTTTTTGCCACCAAAAAAGACACTAGGTCTTATTTTCAGGGGTGGGGAATATCATCCACTGACTCACTTCACTTGCATGTGTTGCCCCTGGTCTCCTTTTTGCTGTCAGAGGCCTTCAGGAACTTCTTCTGCGGCCAGCAAGGCATTCATAAAAGCCTTGCCAGCTGCAGAAGAAATGGGCCCAGGTGTGCAAGGCCTGGCTGCAACTGTCTGAAAGTAAATAGTAGGGCAACTCCACCACCCCTCATCCACCCTAGCTAAATTTTTACCCGTGCACCCTGGAGTGGGCAGAGTCTTAATTAGGGTTTATTTTGGGGGTAGAGTTTATATTGGGCGCACGTGTAAAAACCAAACTAAGACTTACTTTCAGGGTAGGTCATATTTTTGGAGAAACACAGCATAATATATTACCCAGTGGTGGGATTCAAGTAATTTAACAACCGGTTCTCTGCCCTAATGATTTCTTCCAACAACCAGTTTGCCAAGCTGCTCAGAAAGTTAACAACCGGTTCTCCTGAAGTGGTGCGAACTGGCTGGATCCCGCCACTGGTGTTACCCATAACTAAAGGCTCCCTGGTATAAAAATCAACTTGCTAGAAATGTAGAACAGAAGAGGAATACGCTGGGCCGGAGATTTTTTTTTTCTCCTTGCTGGATTGGGAGTTTTTTTTAAGGAAAGGAAGAGTCCATATACCCATGTTGTAATGCTATTATCCAGATAATCCAAGCCGATTTGGAAAATCTGCTTCCCCTTCGGCCAATTTATTAAGTACCAGAGAAAATTATAATTGGAAGAATGAAGGTAGATTTGGTACCTGTTTTCCTTGTCAAATGCTAGGCATGCAAATGACTTTGCAAGTCATTCTTATACCCTCTCCCTGGGTAAAGCCTCCTTCATCAACAAGTTTTAGTGGCACTTAAAGATACCAGCCATCAGCAAATCAAAAAACATTGTTGGAGGAAGGAGTTGCGGGGAGGAGAGTAAACCGTGCCCGCCACTTAGAGGGAAGGCAAACAACAGCTGTAGGCAGGGGAGGTCAAACAGCAATTTGGTCAATATTCTTCTTTCATTGGCTAGATAACTGTCAGAGAAGTCATTACAGGCCCCATTTCCCCTCTAACTAATTCCTGACCTTTGGGACATTTTATCAGATAACATCACCCTGTTTGCTTTCGTGCCAAGCAACTCTGTAGCAGGTTGATCTGCGATGGAAGTCTGGCTGATTGACGAGGCTGTTTTTGTTGACAGAATAGAGTCCGCACAGTTAAATGTAGTGTGGCAAAATGCTCAGCTATCTGGGGAAGACACACCTAAGGGCTGGGATGCTTCCAGAAGATGCTGACTCCGATGCCTTCAGAAACACCGGAGCTTCATGTACTGTACCAAAATAGAAAGAGCAACTTAGATTTACAGTATATACTGCTTCACAGTGCTTTCCAGACCTCTCTAAGCAGTTTTACAGAGTCAGCATATTGCCCCCAACAATCCGGGTCCTCATTTTACTGACCTTGGAAGGATGGAAGGCTGAAAAACTTTCCTAGCTCCCACCTCCCCAAACACAACAGTTTCTTGCATTGTGTGTTAGGTTCCAAGTAACGCATCCATCATAAATTGAACTCCGAGGCATTCCGTTTTCTTAAAGTACAAATTTATTTAGATACATCATATTGGCACTAACTGGTGAAAAGCCAGTACTAAAGTACCTGGGCTTTTCAACCCAATATAAGTTTCAGTTTCTCAAGTTTCCAAAACAACTGTCAAATTATCCTACCAAGATGGGAGCTGGTTGCTCAGCTACATCTCTCCTCCTCCTCTGATCAGCCAGACGTTGGAATGTGGTTGACTCGTCAATTAGGAATGCTATTTTGACTGAAGGCTTCATCCCCCCCTCAGCCCCCAAATGTGTCAAGCTGAATGCATGTCAGAATGCCCAAGGATACAAACAACCCCACACCCGAGTGGTGGGTTCCTCCCGGTTCCTCCCGGTTCTGCCGAGCCAGTAGCGGTGGCGATATGAGGTCACCGAACCGGTTCTGCCCCTCCCGCGTTATTCTTACCTTTTATTTGGCCCCACCCCCAATCTATTGCTGCCTCCTGAGTCCCAGCTGATCGGCTAGAAGGAAAAACACTGTTTAAACTCTTGCCGCGGGGCTTCAAAGGGCCGCCCTACAGCTGATCAGTGTTAAAAGGCAGTGTGGTGGTAGACCGGTGCCTCCAAAAACAAATGAGTAGACCAGTGCCTCCAAAAATAAATGGGTAGACCAGTGCCTCCAAAAAAAATGAGTAGACCAGTACAGTTCTGCAAGCAGTTAAAAGCTTGGTAGGCCAGTACCTCTGCTAAATCCTAAAGAATTGTCACATGATCATTAAGCCATGCCCACAAAATAAGCCACGCCCACAGAACCAGTAGTAAAAATATTTTAGAACCCACTCCTGCCACACCCCAATCAATTTCAGGCTTGACATTGTGATGGAAATCAGTAGATAGTATTAGTGACTCTTCAGTATGACAAATAGAGGGTTGAGTTTTGGCCCCAGTGCATGGATCATACATGTAATCAAAATGGCTGCTTCTCCAAGAGTGAATGAAGCTGGTGATGGGTTTGGGAAGCTGCCTTCTTTGACTTATTGCTTTGTTATATAGACTCCTAACTCAAGGACATGGTAGGGGGCCTTGGACACCGTTTCCCAGTCTTCTGAGTGTATACAGAAGACACTTCTGGTGGAATAGTTGGCAAAGACTGAATGTATTGCCACCATTGCTGCCTGCAAATCATAAATGGTGATTCTCCAAATCTATTTTGCTTTTTTTTTTTTTTTGCTGAAGAAGCCAATAACATATACAGGTCGTCCTTGACTTACAGCAGTTCATTTAGTGACCGTTCCAAGTTACAACAGCACTGAAAAAAGAGACTTATGACCGTGTGTCACAGTTACGACCTGTGCAGCATCCACAAGATCATGCGATCAAAAGTCAGGCGCTCGGCATCTGGTTCATATTTATGACCGTTGTTGTGTCCTAAAGTCATACGATCACCTTTTGTGACCTTCCCCGCTATTACAGGTAGTCCTCGACTTACAACAGTTCATTTAGTGACAATTCAAATTTACAACGGCAATGAAAAAAAAGTCTTTCACACTTAACAACCATTGCAGCCTCTCCATGGTCACGTGATTTCAATTTGGATGCTGGACAACTAACTCACATTTATGACGGTTGCAGTGTCCCAGGGTCATGTCATCCCCTTTTGCGACCTTCTGACAAGCAATGTTAATGGGGAAGCCAGATTCACTTAATAACCGGGTTACTTACTTATCAACTTAACAACTGAGGCAAGAAAGGTAAAATGGGGCAAAACTCACTTAACAAATGTCTCATTTAACATGATCTCAGAAATTTGGGCTCAATTGTGGCCATAAATTAAGGACTATCTGTATCTATCTGGCTCACCATCTTCTCAATAAGGAAATAAATCTTTGAGATAAATACTATCCCCCCTCAAAAAAGCTCCCCAGATGACTTCACTTTTAAAAAGAACAGTTTCTCTCTTTGATAGTGCTTACTTCAGGGTTGGGTTGCTGGGGATCTCCCCAATAGGGGGAGAACCTCTAGCCAAGATTCTGTGCAGTTCAGAGAACCCCCAAATCCCACTCCTGGCTGGCCCTGCCCACCCAGCCCCTCCCCTCCCAGGAGTCTCCACGCAGCCCGTTTTGGATGCAGGTAAGTGCAGAGTGCACGCAGAGGCTCGGGGAGGGCGAAAAATGGCCTCACCAGCCTCCAGAGGACTTCCGGAGCCTGGGGAGTCTGTTTTTGCCCTCCCGGGGGCTCAAAGAAAGCCTCTGGAGCCCGGGGAAGACAAAAACACCCCCCCCATGCTGTGGTGCAGGAGGCCGACTAGGCCACGCCCACCATGGCCAAATCCACCCAGCAACCAGGCAGAGAACCCCTTGCTAAAATTTTTGAAGCCCACTCCTGGCTTACTTGCTAATTAAAATTGATCTGCCTATCATCAATCAGCCAGAGTTATATTTATGGATTCAAGCGTGAGTTCTGTTAAAGAGACAATTTTGTCCTTCCTGATTGACTCACTTTAGAGAATAAACTTTCCACCAGTCATCAGAGCATGTTTCCTTCCTGAAGAACTCAATCTATTTTCACTCTCAGGCAAATATAATACAATATGTTACTTAAATTATGCATACGCACGTGTGTGTATGTATATATATATGTCTCTGCGTAATAGTT